AAGACCTGCCCTTTTAGGTATGTAATTATAGATATGGAATTGTTTTAGGGAGAGGTAATGAAAGGTAGAGATGGTCTCTTAATGAGAAAGGATTTTCTGGAACTTGGCACTAGCAACAGTAATTATTTCACATTTTAAAATGGGATCTGGAAAACGGAAATCCCAGTGAAATCTATTGCTATGTAGATGGCCCAATAGTTTTTCTAGTAGTAAACTACAGCCCTGATGGATTTAAACTGCCAATAGAACTCTTGCAATTGAGCGGCCAAATAATAGTAATAGTAATAATGATCTGAAACATCAACCACAAAGGAACTGGGAGCATTCATCACAGGCAATTGCAGGTTAATACAGATAATAGTAACATGACATGCATCATACCCAGGAGATAATGAAAGCCAAATTGTGGCAATGACTCAGGAAATGCACCTAGTGCTCTAGTGGCCAGATGACTCAATGACAAGCTTCAGCAAACAAGAACCATTTTAGAAACACAGATCTTCTCCATGAACACATCTTTTTGTTGTTGTTGAAGATAGTTGCAAGTTCTATATGTTGATGAAGCCTCTCTGGAGTGAAAATGGAACAGAGCTGATGAAAATAAAGCTTAATTAAACACTCCAAACTCTTTGACACTGACACATGACCAGGTTTCACAGTTGAGAACTGGGAAGTGGCCGATAGAGACTCTAATCAATAATTATCTTTGCAGCAAATTGATTCAATATTTATTTATATACAATACAGTCTTTTAAAACAATGTTCACAACAGCTCTATGAAGGATTTAACATTATTTTCCTCATTTTATACATAAGAAAAATGAGTTACAGAAATGAGAAAGAAAGAAAAGAAAGAAAGAAGAAGAAAGAAAGAGAAAGAAAGGATAAAGAAAGAAATTTTGCCTGGCATCTTGTAGCTAGTACGTAAAAGAGCCAGACTTCAAACCCAGGAAGCTGGTACCCTTAACAATTAAGCGTCGCCAAAGTGATAAAGCCTATGGAAAGATGAGCCTGTAGAAACTACTTGAAGAGAAGTCATATTCTAGACTATTAGAACCAGGACAATCCTACATGCCTTAAAAGAATAATTATTAGGGGACAATAAAGAGAACCCTTCCTCAGAGAGTAGAAGTATGTCTCATGGAAGCCATTACTTAAAGATCTATAAAAGGTATAACTTAAATAAAAATATATGACCATTTACAAATTGGAAAAGATACCCAGAATTTTCTGTAGCCACTGGCCAGTGTGTTCTTGCAGCATAAGACAAGATAAAATCTGGAAATTAACAGGAAAGGTTTTAGCAACAAAATAAGCAAGTTAGTCTCTATTTAAATATAAATCTGATGTTAACAGAAGCCTTATGATACTGAAAGAAAACAGTATGGGGGCTAAGGAAAGAAGTGAAAACATGCTCCTCACCTCTGAATTCGATATCTAAGAGGACAATCAAATTCGATCTCATGCCCAATTGGGTCACTGATGACCCATCAGGAATGGACCGTAGGACTTAAAAATAAATCTGGACACAAAATTTCTTATGTATGAGCCAATTCTACTTATGTGGACACAATGCAAATTGGTATGACAAGGTATTTTTTTCCTCAAGGATGATACTTAGCAGATAAAGCCCGATTCCTAATTCCGGATTGGTACAACTGCACTTAGTGATTTAGCTGCTACCTAGGTTTAAATCCCAGGTATGTGACCTGCAGCAAAGCCACTCAACCATTCTGAATCTCAGTTCCTTGCCTGATAAAATAGCGAAAAATAGTAGTTGCCTTATAGAGTTGTAGTGAAGATTAAATGCAATGATCTATGTAAAATGGAAGCGCTTGATAAACTTTAGCCGATTATTAAGGCCAAATAGTTTAAAAAAAAAGAAAGAAAAAGAAAAAAGTCCTCTTCTTGGATAACATTTCTTGGTTTAAAAAAAAAAAAAGAAAACTATTTTTGAGTAGAAAGAAGCTTCTGACTGTTAAGGATGATGGATATGTTCATTTTCTTGACAATGGTGATGTTCACACATAGGTATATACATACGTCGACACTGACAAATTGTATACAGGTGATATGTGCAGTTTATTTTATGTCAGTTGACTCCATAAAGCTGCTAAAAGCAAACAAACAAAAAAGCTTACCTGTGGGTGTCATGTGTGTGTCTGTGAATTTAGTTGCTAGGAAAATTTCTTACCTAACAGAGGCACACAAAGCTGACATCCATCCTTACAAGAAATTGGAACTAGTTTCTTTACAGCAAGAAATGTAAGGGGCTTCTAGATTTATCTTATGTGAGAAATTTGTACCACTGACAGTAATGAACACATACATTAGCATGACCATCCCATTTTAATAGCTATATGTACCTGAATCTTTAAAATGGCAAGAGAGAAAATACTCTACAGAGGAGAATGATTTTACATGTGATATAAATATATAGTTTTTAAGTCTTACAGGAAATTATGTTACTTAGAGAATATTGGGATGCAATGATTGCATTTGGCATTTAGGGTTCTCGTCGGGAATCAGAATTTACAGTACTTCCAACATAAAGGCAGTGACTATCTACAGACATTCCATGATGCAGTCTTTCTCTTTTGTGATTTTTCTGGCTTCACCCAATTCAATGGCTCATCAGAGCAGGCAGGGTGAGAAAACACTTGTGTTCAGTAAGGCAATGCTATTTATTGAGTGCTTTCTCTATATAGAACTGTATGCTCTGTATAGGGTAGGAATGACATTTTTTATTTTTCTTGGTCAATGGTGACCCCTGTCTCTTTGAGTCATTTCCTCATTTCCTCCAGTACTGATAAGAAGAGCTGCTGCTAATAAAGAGTGAGCTAAGAGGGTCTGACAAAATATTACTGCCCTTAGAGCTAAATGATTTTCAAATATTTATTTGTAGGTACCTGTTTGACTGTATTCTTTTTCTGCTGTTGATTTTGGAAACAATTATGGAATTCTCGTTAATTCCTTAAAAATGTTTACCTTGACCCAGATAAGTAAATGCAAGCAATCTAGCTGAGGGTGGGAATGGGGGAGGATGGATGTTGGGGAGACTGTGTCAGTTATCTTGCCACATACCAATTATAATATCTTAGCGGCATGAAACAATAAAGATTTCGTTAGCTCACACATTTGTGTGGTGGGCTCAGTTTATATCACCGGGGCTCATATATTTTTTCTGTTGTTAAATGCAGGTTAGTTCTGTACCACTACTGATCTCGAATGTGCTGGTTCACATGTCTGGGTGGTGGCTGGCACTGGATAATATAGATGGCCTTGGCTGAAAGGTTAGGATGTTTCGGATGACACATCTTTATTCACATCTCATCCAACAGCAGGCTAACCAGGGCATGTTCACATAAGCATCCACAGGACCAAAAGAAGCAGTTCCCAACATCTAAACCCATTTCAAGCTTCTGCTCATGTCTCATTTGCTAACATCCCATTGGCCCTAGCAGTCACATGGGGTCAGACCTAGAGTCACAGTGAGAGGGCTCCACAATATTATATAGCAAAAGGCAAGGACACAGGGATGGGTAAAGAATTAGAGGCTTTAGCACAATTAATCTTTAGTAAAACACTTTTTTCCTAAGGAGTAACAGTTGTGCAGGTTGCTCATTTTAGTTTTCAGACTATAAACTGACAAATATTTGGTTAATTCAAGCAGATTAACAAATTAACCTTCCCATCCATATTAATGTATCAACCAAGTTTGTCAGGCCACTTTGGCTTTCATTTTATTCATTCATTTTAAAATATATTTATTGTGGCCAGGTGAGGTGCCTCACGCCTATAATCCCAGCGCTTTGAGAGGTCAGGTGGGTGAATCACCTGAGATCAGGAGTTCGAGACCAGCCTGACAACATGGAGAAACCCCATCTCTACTGAAAATACAAAAATTAGCCGGGCAAGGTGGTGGGCGCCTGTAATCCCAGCTGCTTGGGAGTCTGAGGCAGGAGAATCATGTCAACCCAGGAGGTGGAGGTTGCCTTGAGCTGAGATCATGCCATTGCATTCCAGCCTGGACAACAAGATGGAAACTCTGTCTCAGAAAAAAAAAAAAAAAAAAAAAAAAAAAAAAAATATATATATATATATATATATATATATAATATACATATATTAGATAGATATATGTATACATACAGTAATAACAAGCAGCAATTTGCCAGTCAAGCAGGGATGTGAAGGAGAATATTAGTATTTAAAGAATAATTTTGCCCTGTTGGCTTCAAAAGATTGTCATTTTCCAATGTAATTGTTGGAAGAGAAGTTCAGACATCAGTTTTGGTCACTTTCCCTTAGCAAATACATTTACCTATGTCATGTAGGACCACTTCAAGCAGTCTGGGACTCAGCAGTTATAGCCATATTTTTTTGGCTCTATTTTTATCATGTGGTTTCACTTAACATTCTAATAATTGTTCTCTTTGGGATTCTGACTAGATTTTAGTGGGAAATTGGAGTGAAAAGGGTTGGGTGGAGCATCAGCTTCTAGCCTTTTAGAAATTACAGAGGACTAATTTTCAAAAAGCTAATTTGATTGCAGTTAGCAAAATGTCTCTCTTTTGAGAAAGAAACTCCTAATCATCTCTTTCCAAAATTAAATCCTTCAATTTCTACAGTGCAAACACGGTTGCTTTGAGAAAGAAATATTTATCCACATATAAATACCGATTACAAACATGTTTCTAACATTACTGGAAGGGCCGGTGCTTGCCTCTTCACTTCTAAAGCAAATTCACATTCTGCTTCAACTGATTATTTTTTCAACAATATTCGTTATATTCTTTTATGATCTGCCAGTACTTTTTTGAAGCCCAGTTAGTTAGAACAGCGGCCAACAGAACTGAGACTAAAAGAAGGCCAAACATCTCTTCAGAAGCAAGATGTTACTTCAAAAGATATTCATTACAAAGCACTACTGTGACTCACATAATCACTTATTTTTAAGGGGGATTTCTTAATGTAGAATTGGTTTCTTATCTTCCCAGCCCCCAGTGAGCCTTTGCTGTGCAAATTCGCTGATGGTGGACAAAAGAAGCGACAGAATCAAAGCAAATATACCCAGAATGGGAGGCCTTGGCCCAGGGAAGGAGAGGTAAGTCCTGATCTACAACATTTGCTCTGAAATTTGGCGGTAGATATCCCTCAGAAGGTAGCAAGGCAGACATATGGCTCCATGATGAAATTGGGTCCCATGGAAAACCCAGTGTCTTCAAAGGGGCAAATGAGCAGCCCTATGTTAATAAAATTACTCGACAAGGAGTAGAGGACTTCAAAATTAACCTCAGTTCTGTACTACAGTAAGTCTTTTGTCTTTAACCAACCTTGAACCTGAAAGGAACTCAGTGAAATACTTATCTACAAAGAAACTGAAAGAGACTCTGTGGCATACTTATGTACAAAGAATTGATTTCTATTTGTATAATAGGTATAAAATGAGGGTATAATTACTTAATAAAATATTCTCAGTGAAATCAATAATGAGAGTTGAATGCTTATGTTTTGAAACAGGCAACCAAAATTTGGTTGTTTTTCATCCTGCTGTTGAGATGATTTACTTGCATGTGTATATATATTTATGCATATTCCCGTATGTTCATAAATACTTTATTATGTGTTTTATTTTTATGTATATAGTAAGATATTATCTATTGGTCAAAAAGGAGGAAGAAAACTTGATACATACAGCATTTTGCTTTCACAACAAGGACAAGGAAAAGCACTGAACAGCTCACTATCCATTTATCCTCAATACAAATTGGTAGAAAAGCCAGCTTATGGATCCATTCCCACTTAGGAATGGGTTCTTTTCATTACTTTTTTATAAGAAGACAAGGAAAAGGTGTCTGAGCTTCCATGAGGTCTTTTCATTATTTGTGAAATGGAATAGAGTTGTTTGAATGACTTGAACAAATGCCATTTTGTACCAAGGCCATAATTTCAACAGAAGAACTTTATTTAGTATTTCATTCAAAGCGCCTACTTCATCCATTTATCATTTAAGAAGCATTGTACTTCATGCAGCATTTTACACTTTAAAATACTGACAGAACAGTGGCAAGAAAGAAAGGAGGCTGGATTTCTTTTCTCAGCAAATCCTTTAGCCGTTTTTCAGTTTCTGTTTCTAAGACCATTGTCTGTTTTGAGTGTTTTCAAGCAGGTCTCAAAACCCCTCTTAAAGGTTATGTTATGCTCAAGTACTGTATAATCTGTAACTCATTAAGACATAAAAAACAGATCATCATGGAGCATCAAAAGCTAATAAAAATCACAAGAGTTTTCATAGTCTTAACTTTAGAAAAGCAGTGGGTATTGTGTTCAAAAAAGGAAGCGGAGGCGGTGATTTATGCGTTTTTAGCATGGAGTCCAGTGCATCAGCAGATAACCCGACTGGCCCCAAAAGACAACTGATGCCTGATAGCACTCATTATCACATGTCCCCTACCAAACACCCATTGATCTAGAAAGACTCATTTGACATTTTAAAATGTGGTTGGATAAAATGCCTGCGATTAGAGATATCTTTGGATCACTGACTATCATCACAAAGCCTTGAGACTCAATTAGCAACTTGCCATTAATGACAGAAGCTTCAGTTTCTTTCTCCTTAAGGAACTATAACATTGCCTTCATACAATAGATGGCAATTGCAGCAGGACACTTCATCTCAGCGTACATTTCTTGAAAATGGAATCAATAAACACAAAATGGAGAGTTACAGCTGCCACCTGGCTATTGCATATAGAATCTAAGACTTTGCTTCAAAGCATGATAAATGCTGTATGTACTATGGTGTGGAAACATTGTGGAGCTGACTTTAAGACCCAGAGGAACTTATCATTTAAATGGAGGTTTTCAAGGTATATTCCTAATCTTTGTTTTCAAAAGTTGATTTTTAAGAGCTATACATTTTCCTGTTGATCTATGAAAATCAAGGGACCATAATAAAATTTGTCTGTGACCAATAAAATATATTCCAAATACATATACACACTGAGAGAAAATAGGAAGAGAAATAGCATGCACTAGAAATACGCTTATTAAATTTCTTAGATTGGGGATACACATGTTAATTTGTACGCTTTGATTGTGGCCTTAGAAGTAGATACCCAAAGAATATTGAATAACTGTGTGTCTGTCATTTTATATTTTTTGCTTCCACTTCCTCCTTGCATTTTACTTGCTAAAGTATATTAACAAGTTGATAAAGTATGTCATAATACAAATTAATCCTATATAAGCAATATTTAATTAATTTGATATGCCAGAAAATTCTGGTTACTGTATTTGATTCTAAGACACATATTTTTGTTGTTGTTGTTTTTGACACTTTAATGCTTGCGAAATTGGTTCTCTTATACTCGTTGGCATTTTACAAGATAAGGTGCATTTTCTCCTGTTATTCACTTGGGGGCACTACCTACATTCTCCGGTCAAGGTTTATGACCACACTGGTTTCATAAATTAAAAAACTAACCAAAGCCGGGGTCAGATTCTCAGAAGAGGATTTTTTGTTTTGTTTTGTTTTTTTGACCTCTTCCCACATGCAGTGTCAAGATTGAGACAAGTAACTTTCTTTGGTGTCCTTTAAAACTTTCATTTACCATTATACTAAGGTTAGCATACCAACTTTATAAAGAAATCTTTTTGGGTGTTGGTTTTTGCTTGTTTGTTTTGCTGTATGAAACAATGGTACACCTTTCAATCCTTGTTGTCTTAGATAAAATGAAAGATGGTAGTTTAGATTATGTTGCTGTGGAATTGAAGATAACAGCACAGACTGAGGCTAATGTTTATTTTCCTCTCTCCTAAAAGACAAGCAAAAATGGTCATGTGAAAGGGATTTCTGATGAAATTCTTAGGATAGGAAACCAATAGATTACAAGCATTGTAAAAGTACCATAAGCATGCCAATTGATAGACTAATTAACATTTTAATTTATTATTTAAAGCTGTTTTTTCTTCGTGGCATTTTGATAAAACTTTTATTAATAAAGTTCAGCTAAATGAATTTCTTTATGAAAAAAATCTAATGCAAAAAACTTAACACATAGAAATTAGTATAAATGGGCAAGATTTTGAAATATAAATATATGCTAGTGGCCATGTTTTGCATAAGTGAAAAGCACAAGGATATTTTTCAGTTATTAACTAATCTTTCAAGAGACAATTAGAGCTCTGAGTAAAATGATGGAGGGATTGGGGCTATTTGGCTCTTTCTCCTTGCTGTTCTACAGTTCTTATTGTTTTACTTCCTTAAGCAGCAGTTCTCAAACTGTTGGTCTCTGGATCCCTTTATACTCTTAAAATTATTATTTACAACAAAATAAATAATAACAGAAATTAACTCATCTTGTGCTAATAAAAATAGTATATTTTATTAAAATATATATTTTTAAAACAAAGGCAATTTTTTCAGAAAAGTGGTACTCTTTTACATTTTTAAAAATCAATTTAATATCTGGCTCAGTAAAAAATGACCAGATTTGTACATGTACTTCAGCATTCAATCTTTTGCTATACGCTGTCTTACTTTCAACATATTGAGAAAAATCCACCTTCATCTAGATAAGTTGTTGAAATAGGGAGAACTCTAAAGGTCTCCTAACACGATCTTAGGAATTCTTGGTGTCTTTAGGCCACAATTTGAGAACCACTGTCCTAAAGAAGCTGAAGCCAAGGGTAGGGCTGAGATTCAGCTTCCATATACTAGAAGGGCCATGCAACTTGTTGGTATTTTACAATATTCCAAATGCCAATCAATGATAGACTACATAAAGAAAATGTAGCACATATATACCATGGAGTACTATGCAGCCACAAAAAAGGATGAGTTCATGTCCTTTGCAGGGACATAGATGAAGCTGGAAACCATCATTCTCAGCAAACTGACACAAGAACAGAAAACCAAACACGGCATGTTCTCACTCATAAGTGAATGTTGAACAATGAGAACACATGAACATAGGGAGGGGAACATCATACACTGGGGCCTGTTAGGGAGTGGGGGCATTAGGGGAGGGGTAGCAGGGGGTTGGGGGGATTGGGAACGGATAACATTAGGAGAAATACCTAATGTAGATGACAGGGAGTAGATGCAGCAAACCACCATGGCATGTGTATACCTATGTAACAGTCTTGCACGATCTGCACATATACCCCAGAACTTAAAGTATAATAAAATATAAAATACAATAAAGAGTCAATAAGATATATCTATATCACGATCCAGCAAGAATGGGGTGCTGACTGGCACAGAAGGAGTTTCCAGAAATCCTACTCATGCATTTAAATTCCGATTGGTGTTTATGACATATTGGTAGCAAAATGTTTTTAATGTCGCCCCTAGCTCAGAAGTAGTCTCACTTAATCATCACAGAGACCCTGGTGACCCCTGGTAACATTGTGTTGGACAGATATTCAATACATCTGAGGCTCTTTCTTACTTTAGGCAAAATATTGCCTGAATCAACCTTGTTTGTGCTCTCCCAAATGATTGGTGGAGAGTTGTGGAACGAGGAATGCTTCAAGCCACTTCAAAAATATATCAGGGACACGAAGAGGAAACTCCTGCTGCTTTTCTCTGTGTTCCCAAAGAAGATCTTTCCAGCGACTACCAAAAAGTCAGCAGATTGTACTTTTTGCTACAAATAATAACAGCAGATCAAAAAGCAAATAGCTGCAGAATTTTCCAGATGGTCAGATCAAAATTTGACTGATGGTAACTTAGTGCCCCAGTAAAAATAACTGTAAACTAAAATAGACATTTACTCATTCATTCATTCACTCATTTATTCATCCGCCACCAATATACCACCACAACACATGCACAGACATGTCTGAACTTGTGATATGCCTGTTTTTTCAACCTTTATTGAACTATGTTGTAAAGATCATTGGATTAAATCAAAGAATGGATATGTTTACACTATGATGAGAATCACTTAAATTTTAAAATTGCTTTATGGTAACTTTCATTGTGGCTAGTCTTCGGTTTCCTTAAGAATTTGCAAATATAGGTAAGTGCTAAGTTTCAAATTCCAGAATAGGGTGCTGTTTCACCACATTTTTATGCTGGGGTTTTATCCTTAAGTA